TATATATATATATATATATATATATATATATATATATATATATATATATATATATATATATATATATATATATATGTTCTTCTTTTGAATCTTTTGTTAAGGATGATATCATTGGAAACTTCAGAATAAGTTACAGTATGTGCTCCATTAGTCTTTAGAAGTCTTATTTATTGGGTCCATGTCAGAGAGTATAAACTAATAGCAATATGTATATATATTATTTTCTTTTGATTGGGATTTAAGGAGAAAAGAAAAGAAGAGCTAACGGGCATTTTATTAGTAATTATCTCACAGACATAAATCATGCATTGAAATGGGGACCAACCATTGTTTTCAAGCATGCAATACGGCAAACCAACAAAGAGAACTCCCAACATTAAAATAAAAAGGAAGCTAATCCATTCTACTATTACATGAGAAAAGAAATTTAAATGAAGCAAAAAGTTAAGAAATGAACTAAGCCTTGCAATTTGATAGGTCTTCCCATAAATATGTAGGAAGAAGACAACGGGTCTGAGGTGGAATTGCCAGTATAATGTCTTAATTTATAATTTAATATCACAGTTCAAGGAACAGACTCGCCATAGTTCTCGTGTATTGTGATACATGGTTTAGCAACTTTGAGATTTGAGGTGCAGGGTTTCTATGACACCTCTTTCTCAAAGAATCTTGCTTAAGATCAGTCGTTTGGGTGCCTTTGTTCACGAGTTGCTGACAGTCCTGGAGTCATAGTTTTCATTAAAGCAAGCAGATATATTACTAAGTGCATAAAACTAATGAATCATTCAGCAACAAATACAAGCAAGCTGAGAGACATTTCTTTTCTGGGAGGCATTGGCAGATATACTATTGAAAAAGTTTGAGTAGATAATTTGGTATATATGGCATTTCCAGAAGTGACAATTGACAGTTGACTAAGATTAATTTAACAGACTTTGACATGAAATCTTCCTGTGATAAAAAATCAGATGCGAATATTCCCTTTCTTTCCGTTTTTGAGATGATAAAAGTTGTGCCCAAAGAATTATCTTATGTAAGTTTATTCATATTTATTTTGTGGATATACCCAACTCTTACCAGATATACAAAAAATCTTTGAGATTGTCAATGATCATACATTTTCTACCTGATAAAGTTGTTGATCCTAATTTGACACTTTCTAGCCTTCCATATCTTTGATTTAAACAACAAAACAATAGGTGAGATGTGGAACTACCAATATGCTACCCCGAAACCTGCTTTCAGTCATTCACCATTCATATACACCACACTTTAATATGCTTTAAATGTGCCTTTCAACAAGTCTAGCATGGAAATTTTTTGAATTATTGAAAACATCAAATGTATCGAGAATCCTGGTTGGAAATTCTGAGGGCAAAAATAATGAGGTATGCTATGGAAAGAACACAATTGAAAATGGATCATTACCAAAAATATGATTAAACAAGTTCAGTTGTCACTGTTTGAGAACTTAGAAGCCTCTCCGCTTCATCGTTTGCCTCAGCTTGGACACGCCATCGCTACAAAAGAGTACAGAATAAAGCAGAATCAAATATTAAGTAGATGTTTACTTTTGGAGATCATTGAAACATAAGAAGAAGAAAATATACTTGCCTCTTCAAGATTTTCTATTTCCATGATTTGCTGTATCTGTTCTGCAATGCTCTCCTGCAGTTGATTTATAAGAATAAAAATGCTCAGAGATATTTGCATAATATATAAGAAACAATTTTATTTAATGCTTACCGCATTACCAACTGCTTCAGCAGCCAGAACATCGGTATCCATTTCCACTTCAATTTCGATCATCGAAGATATCTGTAAGAAAACCCAACTGTAAGGGGAAAATGTCATAAAAATGAGTTTGTTTTTGTTATTCTGAAAACCTACTTTTGCATAGCTCTCAATCAGCTCAATCCTGGCCAAAAGGGAACTTTCCAAGCTTTTACGTACCCTTTTGACTCTACTTCTCCGAGCACTAAAAAGAAAAGGTGGTTTAAAACAAGGAAACTTCCATGAAGACATCCTTTACACTTTAGTGTTATAATAAGTTATGGATCAACAGGAATTTTTCAAATGGAGATGATTTAATAAGTATAAAAGGGATAATCATGCTACCGATAAGACGGCTCCCCAACTGCCACAATCTTGTTCTCCAATTGGCACATGCGAGCCAACATCCAAACCTTAAGAAAGAAAATCTGAAAGTTAGGCTCCTGAATAGAGTTTTTGATGAGCATTTCATCACAATTTTAATGGCTTGCATAGCAACAGTTGAGTTGTTAAAAGGTGATCATAGTCAAGACAAACCTCTTTTTCAGCAGCCTGTCTGAGCTCTTTAATTCGAGCCTGAAGAACGTCATGCTGAGATAAAAGTTGCTGCTTGAGTGCAACTAAATCTACCATCCTCTGAGGAAGCTGGAGAATATCATCAATGAAAAACCAAAACTTAATTAATAGTTTTCACAAAATTGATACAAGCAAACCTGGTTCAAGGACTTATAGAAATTGACCATTATCATGTAATTTGAAATATCACTACTATCAAAGACAGTTTGAAAATATACATCAACCTTCAATCCCAGTATTACCTTTAATATGAATCATAATATAAGTGTCTAACATTTCCTTGATATAAAACTGATCATTTTGATGCCAACCAAGTATGGATATGAGAAAAAAAAAAGAACAGATATGTTGAACCAGCACATGTTGCTCAGTTAAAATTTCACAGAAGCATTATAAAGAAGTTATTATTCATATTGAGTGTTGTGCATACACAGGTTCGTTTATTTCCTTCATTGCTTCCAAGGTTGTGTCTATTATGTTGTTGATCTAGCTTAAATCAAAATTTTCTTGTAAAGCTGACTAAACCACATCTTAGAAAATAATATACTCCACATCAATATACCAGAAATAAAAGGAAAATTTATTTGTGAAATCTTCTGTTAAATGTTGGTGCTAAAGTTTGAGGTCTATAGAACAGGCTAACTTTTTCCATTCTAGAATTTTTGGATAAGCTAGTTATGTATTTGAAGAAGACAAAGAAAAGTAATATCACTTCATCTTTCTTAGCCTACTTAAAATAATGAGAAAGTATCTGCTGTATCTAAGATGCAATAATGTTCATTGTTAAGTATTTCTATTTGCTCTTCACACACAGATAAGTTTGGGTTGTGAAGGTACAGATAAACAACCTGTGTCAAACTGAGATTAGCAAACCATCTTTATCAAGAAGAGATAATTGTATCAAACTCAGAATAGGCTTGACCATTATATATTACCAAGATTTGGAGCATATGACAAAAAAATTACAACATCTTTTAGTCACTTCTCATTTTTTACTATTTCATCTGGCATCTGCCATGACTTGTAAGGCATGATATATAATCCAACACATCAGGGATAACAAGTTAATTAACATAAGCTTAATAACTAATCATGACTTTAATAGTAAAAATTAAATCTAAATATTTCTTGATTAGGTTCAAGTTAACGCAAAAACTCATTAGAGTATAAAAATGAGAAAAGAATCACCTTACACATTTCAGGAAGAACAATACGGTTCACAGTGGTTTCCAAAGCAACCGATGCAACTGCAGCTACTGAAATGAGCCTAGGAAGGCTGGGATCAATAATTGCAGACATGGCATCTCCACTAGCTAGCATAGCAAGGGAAGGAAACAGGATATATGGATTAAGAAAAAATGAATCGCCATTTTTGGCTGGAGCTCTTAGCAACTGGGACACTTTTCCATTAGTGTGGTTTGTGAGACACATCGGCTCCCCTGGGCTAAACCCAGGAGATCGAGCACTTAACTTGAATGGACCCATCTCTCTGTAAACATTTGATGGAGCTGCTAAGGAAATGGTAACTCGTTCTCCTTCTTGGGCAGGAAGCTCAACAGTCCTAGTTGCAAACTTATGTGTACGAGCTGTACCGGAAGGAGTGCAGACCTGTCATAGCTTAAAAGAATTATATTCAAGCATCTAAAGAACAAAATGTTGCGAAAATCAGATTAAAGTTCATATAGAAAAAGTTCGTTATGACTTTGCTTTAGCTCTTATTATCCGTCAAAAACATTTGTGAATTACAACCTAGATCATGGAGCTGCCACATAAGATATGGACAACAAACTTCCTTTCCGAAGAGAATAGAATTTTATCTATATAGTTCAAACAAATAAAAGAAATTGTACTACTTCATCATTTGAGACTCAAGGATTCAATGTTTTTGTTATTTGGAGAATCACATAATTTTCCTCTTTTAGTAGTGATTGAGATCATACCCTTTCACGGTTGAAGATTTTTCTGAAATCTCCAAGTATACAATGGATTGCTGCCACCCATCCAAGCAGCTTATGTTCTATGTGAGTTTTTAGTTATTTCATTGGCTTGTTCGTGACAGTTTGTGGCTACAAAACAGCAGGGTACCATGTTACAGAGATCAGAAGCATCAAATGATCCATGATACTGGTCCAACAGTTGCCTCTAACATAATCAAAAGACTCAAAACCATTCCTTTTAGGTTTCTCCATATTGCGACAAAGTAGATTCTATCATGATACAATCATGAATAACTAGAATACTCAATATGCATATAACCCACATGGAAGTATCATATTTTCCTTAAATAAAATAATATTCCAACAGCAAACCATTATCACATGCCATCAATATTTTGGCTTCCAAAA